ATCGAGACGATGGGGGTGCCCGTCCAATGCTCGGCGCCCAAACAATCCAACAACAACACTCTTCGCTGCGATATTGGCAACCCGTTGCAGAAAAATGGACTGGTCAAATTCAAAGTGTTGCTGCAACCCGTCACCTCCCACGGCATGAAGCCAATCTACGAATTCGAAATGGACGTGAACACGACCAACCCTGAGAATCCGTTCACGACCGGGGACAACAGCTACACTTTGAGGCTGCCGATTTGGATCGAGACCGATCTGCGCGTGGACGGTGAGAGCAAGCCCAAGGATCTTTACTACAATCCGGATAATTATACCAGCGAGACGAATGCGACCACCGAAGGTGAATTTGGCCCAGCCATGACGCACAATTACACTATTCGGAACCAGGGCCCGTCGGACGTCATCGAGGCCGAGGCATTCCTCGTTTGGCCAGCTCAAACGTTGGCTGGAAACGAGTTGTTGTATTTGTTAGAGCAGCCGGAAACGTCTGGACCCATCGCCTGTGAACCTGCCAATGCGAATTATCTTAGTTTAAAGGTATGATTTTTAAAAAATTGTATTGCAATTACTGGAAAACGGAAGATATACTTCTTAACTTAACTTGGCTGCCTCTAAATGTGTGTATGTTCCAGTTGGATCAACGGAGGAGAATGTACTCGCATCACTCAGACCCATCGGGAGTGATCCTGGACGAGTCTCAATCAGGCAGGACGATCAACGTGCAACGAGGATTCGACGCTGACAGAAGCAAGATGACCCAGAAAGAAGAGTCCGACATCAACAGTGGCGACAGTTCGAACATCCAAAAATCTCGTCACTCCTCCACTTCCTCCTCCTCCTCATCCTCCTCCTCTTCCTCCTCCTCTCAAGTTATCACAAGCGAGACAAGAAGGTTCCAATTATCTGACACTGGCAACAAACCAAACGTTCTAATCACGACTTATACGCAGAACAATTCGGGGGCCAGTTCTATAAATACCGGCGACTTATCCGCTGCCAATAGAGGCGTGATTTTTGACACTGAGTCTGGTAGTTACGGGGAGACCAGTTTGGGCGGTGGTTTCCGGCCCAGTGATGGTAGCCCGTTTGGTACAAGAGTTCCAGGCCTCGACGAAAGCTATGAAACCAGAACGAATCACTCTCAGACGTTGGAGAATCGTTGGGGCGAGACCAGTGTCTCTGGAGGCCGCGTATCTTCCTCGAACAGATTCAACTCCGAGGTGAACGAGAGCGACGAAAGATATCAGGAATATCTGAGGCAGCAAGAGGCCCAGCGTCGACAGGAAGAAGAGGCTCGACTGGAGCACCATAGAAAGAAGGAACAACTTTTGGCCGTGCAGCGTCAACGAGAGGAGCAAGAACGTTTGGAATATCAGAGAAGGCAGGAGGAAGAGAGGAGGAGAGCGCAGGAGGAAGAGACGAGGAGGCAAGAGGAGGAACGAAGAAGGGTAGAGGAGGAAGAGATACGTCAGCGACAAGAAGAGGAAAGGAGGAGGATGGAAGAGGAAGAATACAGGCTCGAGCAGGAGAGACGTTATGGCAGCTCTGGCGGTGAACATCGGGGGATACAGGCTGGTTTCATCACTGGTGATCGAGAGGAGACTGTTCGAGGAGGGGAATTCGGATTCCAGTTGCGCAACGTTAGCTCTACTCAGGAATTAGAACGATTGTTCGGATCTTTGTCGAAATCGGCTGTTTATGAATTATACAACAGGCAAGGCAAGCATTATGTTCAATTCATGGGAAGATTTAGGAATTCCGCCGACAGGAGAGAGTATATAGAATTCCAGGACGGGTCTATGTTCCCTTTGCAAGACAGTTACGGTAGACAGAGCTACGTTGCTGAGGGTATCGAGTCCAGAGACAGCAGATTCTTGAGGATAGAAGGTGAGCTCATGGTCGATTCGACTGGCAAAGGGTTCATCGTGCTCAAAGATGGCCGTAGGTTTCCTCTTCAGGGTTCGTTTACCTACACCGAGGAAAGAACGTACACGTTGAGTCCGCACAGTGGGTACTTGGGAGGTGGTGGCGTTAGCAATAAGTACGAAACGAAGAGTTACAGTAAATCCTGGAACGAGGAGTCTGGCCGAGCCGGTGAAATCGAAAAGGATTATGAGTCCAGCTATTCCAGCACTCACGAAGAAAGAAGGACAGAGGATAGAAGAGTGACCAGTAGAGTTTACGCAAGAGAAAATCGCGAGGCTGTCGAGGAAACTGCGCACAATGAGAATCCTAATTTCAATGAAGGCTCCGCATCGAAGCAAGAGAGCGATATGCTTAGGATATACGAGTTTAAGAAATTCGAAAAGCTTCATAGGGTGCCCAGAGACTTGGAGGACGAGCCGATTGAAACCGAATTTGACGACAAAGTAGATTTTGAAAGCGATCCTAGGACGCAAGGGCCGGTTAGTCCATGTGATTCCGCCAAGTGTGTCATGCTCAGATGTGTTTTGGGCCCCTTGAAAAAAGACCAAGAGGTCTGGATTGGAGCTAGGTACAGAGTAGACGCGAGAACACTGAAGAAGGTAGCTCTTCAAGAAAAAGTCAGGGTCTCGACTAAATTGATAGCCCGAGTCACCAAGCAGCCCTTCATAGGTACACCTGCCGAACAGGTGATCAAGAGCCACGAAATTAAAACGAATGTCGAGCCAAGTATAACGCCATCTGCACCGGATGTTATACCGCTCTGGGTCGTGGTACTCTCCGCCTGCGCTGGAACCATCATTCTACTACTGCTTATTTTCCTGCTGCACAAGGTTTGTTTATGCAAATTAAATAAGATCGTGTATTCGGTGAAATTATTAAGATATTTATCTATCGAAATTTGATTCGTTTTAGATAGATTTTTTAAGATTTTGGAATTATTTTGTAAATTATTCTTATGGTTATTTTTTTTAATAAATAAAATAGGATATAATAGGAAAAGAGAAATTAAATACCTTTTATTTCTTTAACAGTGTGGCTTCTTCAAGAGAAATAGACCGTCCGACGCTCCAGAAAGGCAACCACTGAACAGGAATGGTCATTTCCAGCATGGAGACGATCACTGAAAAAATTAGCCAAAAGTCAATCAATGGAATTTCGAATTATCTAAATGAACGAGCCAGGAAGTGCCTTTAATCCTCCTTATCGAATCTTACGAAGGAGCGAATCTATGCACTGGTTGGATCATGATACATCTTAGCTAAAATAAAGTCTCATGACGAGCAATACGACTAACTGTAACTAATTAACAAAATCGCGAGTGCCTTTATCTCCAGACGGGAATAAGAAAGGTGTTCGAGTTTTTTTTTTTTTTATTTACATCAAATGATCGAAAAGATGTAAAATTGGTTCTGGAGCCATTCTGCGATTATTTTTTACTGCCACTGAATACTCCTTCCAGCTCCTGCAGCTCGATCATGCAAGTTTCTAGTCAGGAGACGTTTTTTTTTTCTTTTTAATAATTATTTTTTTTTTTTTTTAATTACCTGTAATTACTTAAGCTAGGCTTACGTCGATGGTAACGAATGAATACGATCGAATTGCCATGATGATTTAGCGGTTGAAGAAATAATCTGCAGAAATATCCTTATTATTTATATATGTAAAATATTTAAAAAATTTTTTTTAATCCGAATTTATTTTACTTCTTTCTTTTTTTAAAGAAAAAAAGAATTCTGAAAAATATAAAGAATATCCGGTTTTCTTGTATTGGATATATAATTGCAATAATTTGAAATATCAAGAAAAGAGTTTAATTTATATATATATATAAATATATTCAAGTTTTCATAATGAAATCTATAGAATAAAATTTTATGAATTTTTGAAATCTTTTATCACAATATTAGAATATGTAAAATAATTTTTAATATATAATTTTTAAAATATCAATGAATTTTTTCAGAATCTTGTATAATATAAAAAAAAAAAAACCTATGAAAATTACTCTAAATTTGAAATTTCAGTCATTTTATTGTCCAAAAGAATAATATATCAATGCAGGATTAATTCTGTTTTCCATTAAGGACGAATCTGACGAATTTAATTGGCTCAAATGATTTGATTAATGCACATTAATAGAGATCTCATTCGTCGCCGAAATCGGCAATTGATTTATATATCTTTCCTTCTGTTTTTAAATGTGTTCGAGAAAGGAAGTTTTATTATTTATTAAAATTTTTACATTATTATATGTATATGTCATGTAGGATAGAGCGCCGTAACATGAAACCGGGGTTTACCTCGGCTGTATGTGTGTACAATCTTGTAAATTATTAATTGTATTACTAAAAATTATTCAGAAAGTAACTAGCTAACGCAAATTAATAATTGTGTAGAGAACAAACAAAAACAAACAAATTCCTGGAAAGACAGGAACTGATGATAAGAAGAATAGGTAGGAACTGACTTGTACATACAGAAACTTAAGTTGTAATATTAAAAGAAAAAAAATATATATAATATTATTAATATTAAAATGATATATTTTATTTTTAAAATAACTGAAAAATCTTCCTTCGTTCATTTTATTATTATTTATTAAGAAAATCTTTGAATCTTTGAATCTTTGAATCTTTGAATCTTTGAATCTTTGAATCTTTGAATCTTTGAATCTTTCATTGAATCTTTCTTTAAATCTCCGGCTATTATACTTGCTTGTATTGATAATGCTAACGAGAATAGTGACACTTGGAACCATCTAGCGGTAATAGTTGGTATTACAAAGTGATATGCTTGCGATCACCTAGAAACAATATTACAGAACAAGTATTAATGATCAATCATCCATAGAATATAAGTATTTCGTTATAATTTCAATTTTTTGTTATCAAGAAACTTACATTTTTCTTTTCAGATTAATTCTTATCAATCATTGATTTTGTGATATATATTTATAATATTGCGCTATTTTATTTCACTTATTAAAATTTATAACAAATATTTTATACTGTAAAAATTGAAATAAAAATTATTATTTTTAAAAAATGAAAAAAGAAAATGAGCAAAAAGAATTAATTTTTCATACAATCGTTTATTAGAAAAATCACAATGACGTAACAGTAATAGACATAAAACAAATGCATGATTACCATTAACATTATTCTTATTTTCATTATTCTTTCTATACGACAGCTGTTTTGATTGTTTTATTATTTTTTATTTTTTTTCGTCGGATTGAAATTAATTTATTAAGTTACGTCGTGCACAAATGATAAGAAAATCGTTCCGGATATAAAAAAATATATGTTTTGATAATCTTGTTTTATTCGATAGATTTTTGATATTTTTCCACTCTCTCCCACTCTTTCATTCTCGCTCTCCCTTATTCTCTCTTTTTCTTTTGCTTTCCATTGTCATTGATAAAATGCATACAAAAATAATCTATGAGTACAATCATTTTGTAAAATATACTACCATATTTCATTTAATATTTTTTTTCTTTCTTTTTTTTTTTTTTTCATTTCAAGAGCCTCGAAGTAGAAAAGGATCTTTAGAAAAATTTCTGGTTCTTTCAATGATTTGTTTTACAATCGAGTGAAAATGGTTTGCATAGTTTCGCGAGACGAAATGAAATTCATCACGAGGGACGAAGTAAATCTTATAAAAATGTATTTCCATTTTTTTTCTTTTGCTTTTCCTTTTTTTTTTTCTAGTGAGCTGTCGTTGGACAAAACGTTACAAAAGTTGATATTTTAAAAAAGATATGTATAAAAAAGAAAATCATAAATCGTTTTCACTTTTGTACAGATATATCTCCTCTAGAATTATTGCTAAAAATACTAATTATTAATTATATACACGTATTGTTAACCCTTCAGCGATAAATAATATACGTATATAGAATTCTTCGTTCATATATTGTACTACAATTAAATTTATAATAATTTTGCACGTAATTTGTCAATAATATGTATAGTCATATATATTAATAATAGTTATAATTTAAAATACAAAAGGAAAATTTTCTAATGATATTGGTGACTTCGCATTTTGTTTAATTGTTCAGTCTTAAAAATTTAAATATTGTTGCAAATAGTTTTTATATTATTCAACTTTTCAAATTTTTTCATTCAATGATGATTACTTTATTGTATCATTGAAGGGTTAATGTATTTTATAGAGGAGATTGGCTTACGTGTGTCTATTATCTTCCATTTTGAATACATTGAACAATTAAAATAAATATATTCAATAAATCATATCAATGTGAAGTTGATACTACTCTCCAAAATGTGCTAATGTGCTATCGAACAATATGTATATACAACAATATGTATATAGACTGCCACCACATTCGTATCAGTTTTGATTCCTTCTAAAAAATTATAATCAACAAGAAATTTTGTTTCCTTCGAAGCTTTTGTTTGATAATTTGTAACGATCTCAATCCTTGATAAAGACAAAATAAAGATTTATAATCCAGGGACAATAATTGAGTTACGTTTACGTGATCCAACGATCTCACGTACCGATGTCGTGAGGTTAAAAAATACTAAATACGAATGGCAATGTATTCTAGTTGTACCCTTAATCATTAACACTCGCGACATCATCATCACATTTACTCTTGGAATTTCCCTAATTTTTATGTACGAATGATTGAACTCTTTTTCAAACAGGAGAAATGTATGATTTTTTTGTAAGTATAAACGATATCTTTTGAAGTTTAGTTTTAATTAATTTACGACTATACTTCAAAACCATCGTCTAAACTTCATTGTCGTTACATGACGTTATTAAATCATGCACTTCCTCCTGAGGATCATCCTCATATCAGCTATCCGGAACCTGAAGACAAACAAATTAATTCAAAACATTAATTTAAAATAATTATACGCAAACTATTTTTTAGTATTTAAAATAATTTTTTTTTTACTTACTTTCCATTGTAATTGATTGCCAACTTTGTAAAGCTCTTTTAACGATTCAGAGAGTTTTCCAGAACTCTCCAATTCTTTGTACTTGCGATATAATTCAAGAGCAGCTCTAGCATCTTCAGTAGAATCATGTGTTTCTGATTGAATTTTTTTCCCCAAAAAATGCCATGTAAGAAAACGCAATGACACCATACGATGATGAGGTAAATGAAATAACAATACTGTATCTACAATTTGCTCAGGTGGTACGACTAAATTTATTACCCTATAAATATCAAAGAACGTAAGTGAAATGAATATGTATTAATATTAAAAATTAAATAATTACCTAAAATCATTCTTCAAGCCATGTCCAACAAACATAATTCCATTATCAACGAGAAATCGTAATTTTTGGTATGTTGACTTCAGAGTAGTTAAATGTTTGCTACTGAAGTTCGCATCCAAGTCACCAGGCTGAATTCCACTGAATTTTGTCAGATAATCTACTACCTGTTCCTGAGTACTTATATAGTCATCTATGAAGGGAGTTCCCTCTAATGGACCTTGACTACCAAACAAATTAAAGATATTAATTATGAAACAAATAACGATAAAAGAAATTAAAAATTTTACATACCCACGTATACAAGTTATACGTGCAACAGACATATGACTTGGTTTAATAGTAGACATTTTTCCATCGCTTCGAAGCTCAGCTTCCTCCTGATTTAAAGTTACAAATTCTGCATCAATTCCAACTAATTCTCCTATAAAAATAATTTTATTTATTTTTAAAATTCTTTTAAGTTTTTGAATAATTTTTTTCTATTTTTAATTAAAAACCTTTTTTAGGCATTTCGTCGGAACTCAATGGAGTGAATGTAATACCCCTTGTTCCTCCACTGCGAGCAATGCACTTATCTTCACCAAATACATCATAGGTAAGAGGACTGACAAACGGTACTGGTTCGGGAGCTGGCACAGCCGTATAATGAAGAACACATGGAACTTTCCAATCAAGATTAAACCAAACCGCTTCTTGCGGTGTCACTGCAGATATACTAAAAACAAAAAAAATTTCCAAAAACAGATTTAAAACAAATAGAAAATAAAATTTAAATATATAATATTAAATATATAATTGGATAAATTTTAAAATCTTTTCATATATAATTCACAATAATAAAATTATAATTATTTATATAATTCTTTGTTAATTATCTTATTTTTTAACATATAAAAAAAATAAATTATGGCATTTACATACCAAAAATCATTAAAAATGTACCATTGCGATACTGCACTGCCTACTGATCGTTCATGATAATTTGGTCCAACTCGCAATAATGCAACAATGTTTCTTCTATCTTCGTTACTCTTGTCATCGATGTAACAAACAACAGCATTAAGACTGTATTGAATTTTGCTTATTTTATTTAGATTATCATCGATTTTATTCTCTTTCTCCATATCATCATCATCTAATTCCGCAATAACATGATTTTCAGTCATTTTGTCTTCGGAATTATTTCCAGAAATCTCAGAATCTTGTATCTTACTATCACCTTGTCCATTTTCTACTATGACATCATCAGTCGATTTACTACTTTCGTTAGAATCATTTTTCGAACTACTGATCTTTTCCACGAATAATTCACCATTACTATCCAAAGAAATTTCTATATTATGTGGAATCCATGAATGAGAATAGTACAAATGACTAGGCGGTGTTGCGGCTGTTGAGACCGGTGTTGAAGTTGTTGTAGGTGGTGTAACTGGTGGCGTTGTTATTGTTTCTATAAATAATATTATTTATTAAAATAAAAAAAACTAATAAAAATATTAAAATATATAAAATAAATTATAATACCTGGATCTCTACCAATATGTCGGAACCTACAACCAATTCGAGTACAATTGTTACCATATCTACATGGTTTCACAGTAATAGGAATAGGACTTGAAGATGGACTACTTTCTTTTCCATTTAATACTTTTTGAACGACTATATCCATTTGCTGTTGCCAAAATGATTTGTCCTGGATTAATGATAAATTTGAAATGTTAAAAATTATTATTGGTCTTCACATGTTTGTAATCTATAAAATACAATCATGAAAGAATTTAATCTGTTGAAAATATTTAAGAATAATTGATCATCACAAATTTATTAATATTTATGAAAAATTTATATATATGTAAAATTTTGTAAAATGAATTTTAATTATAAAAATGAATAATTCAATATATAACTTAAATTAAATTTTAATGCACGTATAGTTTTATATTTGATATACCTGTTGTGTATCTAAACCACAGTTCAGAGCCAATATTTGAGGTAGTTTAGTTAATTGTCGAGATTGAAGGGTGGGTGTAAATTTTTGACAATTATCACACCATGCAGGTGTAATTTTCTCAGGTCTTAAACTGCGGGCAAGAACACTTGTAAACGGAACCTCCTCTGCTATAAAGTATAAAAATTCACTCGTTTCAATCGTATAACAATAAATAACATTTATATGAAATATATATGTAGTTTACAAACTAGCTTACAAGGATGTGTTAATTCTGGATAAACTAAGTTGCATAGCAACATGATGGAATGTTTCGTAGCTTCTTGCCCACATTTGAGACAACAGTGTATGTGCATTTGTTCAGATCCAAACAAACGACTGACTTCTGTCTCTTCGTCTCGTATCTCATTTTCTTCAATCGATTTTTTGTTGTTTTTATCTATTTATAATAAATATACGTGTAAGTTTATCGATTTATGTTGATAATTTTATAATTGCAATAAAATACTTTAATAATAAAAATTTATGAAAAACACAAAAATATATAAAAAATTCAATACTCTTTTTTGGGAACATATTTCGGGAGAATATTATTTGTATCGGCAATAAGAGCGTTTATTATTCCTATATCTCGTATTATTATTTCCTATATCTTTTTAATATATGATATTAATTTAAAAGTTTAAAATAATAATGAATTTTATGAAATTTTTCTAAAAGATTAAAATTATATTCAAGTTGAATATTCATTTGATAAGTTATAAGAATAAAGTATAAATTAAAAAAAGAAGAAAAAAAAATGATTTATTTTGAAAGATATACAAATAAATATTTTAATAAATTTGATGCAAGCATTGCCAATACAAGTAAAACTTATACAAATAGGCCATGCATTCGCAGAAAGCAATGTCTTCTTTCCTATAAAAAAAGAAGAGAAAATATAAGTTAAACGAAATACAAAAAACGCGATAAAAAAAAAAGGAACTAATTGAAGAAATTTTCTTCATTAATATCAATATAGGATAATTAAGAAAAAAAAACATTAATTGGCAATTTTACTATATCCTAAGAATAGATACAAAAATATTTTTTAAAATTAATTTTAAAGGAAAAAAAAAAAGAAGAATTATTAAAAAAAAAAAAATATTTGAAAAAAACATGAAAATTTTTAATATTCTTTGGATATATAGCCAGAATTATTAAAAGTGCAACAAACAATCACATACAAAATGAAAAATAAACACAAAAAGTGCCCAATAAAAAGGTTACACATGAATTGTGTTTACCTTTCGATGTGATCCACATATATTTACCATCCCCTTCTTGCTTTCTTCTTTTTTTTCTTTCTTCCGCATGACTTCTGTATCGAGATCCAATGTCTTGTAAAATGCTAGGAAAATCCTGTTCATTATAAACAAACGGAGGACATTTTGGTCCTGATTTTAATCGAGCAGCTTCTTCTTCCTCTTTCTGTCGTTTTCTTGTTTCCAAAACTTCATAATGAATTTGGTGCAATATAAATCTATTCCAACTCTGAAATTCAATATTTATAGAATTCCAAATTTTTATATAGAAGGAATTGTAAAAGTTTATTAAAGTTCATTATAGTACAATAATAAAATAAATATAATTATTAGTGTCAAAATATTTCAAACAAATTCGTTTTAATTAATATTTTATACAAAATGATAATAATACATATTAAATAAAATTTATTTCTTTTTCAAAAAAAAAAAATTGTTTATTGATAAAGATCATTTTTAAATGCATATACTGCATTCATAGTGCATACCTGTATTAATCGTACCAAATTTGTTTTCCTTTTCGCTTCGGGATGGAGATCACTGAGTATAAGTCCTAAAGCTGCCGCTTCAGGTACTGTTCTAAAAGCTCGAAGAAAATTAGCAGCTTGACATGGCAATCCTCGAGATGTATCCAACATGTGAAACAAGAATCCTAGCTCACAAGACAGGCAGAATTCTCTTTGGCACGAATGAGAAAGCAACGCTATTCTCACAGGTTCACAAAAATAAAGTAACTGGAAAATACGTGATAAACATGACTATTCTGTTAAAATCTTATCTCTTTGAAAGAATAATAAGGTTCTCGGAGATTCATCGTGCTGATTGAACCGTACTTACCTGCAACATAGCGTTACAATAGCTGTTGGGAAGCGTGGCTTCAAGACCGCAGAAGCTGGTGCGATTATACTGATCAAAATCGAATTCATCGTAACCGAGACGTGAATATTTCACCTCGATTTTACGATAACGCTTAGGTATGGCCACAAAGGTGCCGTCATCTGTTTTAGATCGTGAGTCCCCCGCGAAAAGCTTTGTGACTACTCCCCGTCGTTTTTCCAAATTGTAAGGTATCTGCAAAAGAGGTATTATTTATTTTTCTTCAACCAATCGAACGTTTTTTGCTTCTTTCTTTTTTTTTTTTTTTCTATTTTTGGGATCAGTTATTAATGAATCATATACCAGGTGAACATTACAATACGATGCACTATGCGAACGCGATTTGGACCATGAAAAAATAAATAATACCTATTGAACGCCGTGGGACCGAGCCAATAAGTTAGGCTTACGTGTATGTCTTACAACCTTTATTTCACTCAATTACAACTTCGATTACATTCTTGGAGAAATATGTTCTATATAGGCATTAGATATACTAAAACTATTGATTATTGAGCACAAAATCATTAAACGGAAATAATCATTTGGGAACGAAATGCACCGATTACAAAACGCATTGTGCTTCAACACGAAATCTAAGGCAGTAGATCTAAGGCAATAGCGTTTTTTTTTTTTTCATTTTATTCACGCTGTTTCTTGAGATGCAAGATCTCGAAATTTGAAACGTGATTTTCAGTTGAATTGAAAATCGCAATGCCCGCAATACGATCACGAGAAAATTAATTTAAATGCATACTTTTAAATAATTATTACGCGTCTTTGTGCTAATAAATTTTTGAAGTTGAGACTTTTAATTTTTTTTTAAATTTGTGAAAAATTAAAACTCTCAAATTAATTTAAGATTCGAAATTTTATATCGCAATTTGATAATAAATTTGATAATAAAAGTATGTTTCTAATATAGAGATTACATGTGACATATTTTCTTTATTCCTGCATTTTTAAGATAGAAACTCAAAATTACACAAGACCTATAGAGAGCGTGTTTTAAAATAATTCATAAAATTATATCGCGAATTATGCAATGTAATTTTATATATGTACATCATTTTTGAAGCAGATTTATTATAATGTATGTAGATTGGCACATTGTTGATATTTTTCCTGATAAAAAGTTAGTAAAAAAGTTATTGCTTTTATGAAGAAATCGAGGCAAATGTAATCACTGCTCCTCAATTACTGCATTTCCATACAGCCATTAAGGTATTATTATTATATAGATCTTAAAATAAAGATTCATGTCTTTCAGCTTTACAAAATTATTCATTTAAATAAAATAATTTTTAAAAATTCGAACGATTCAAGACAGAGTTATTCTTATTTTATAAGAATCTACAACATCGTATATTTATCAATGATAATAGGATGAAGTAAATATATTTATTATATCATACTTCTGATCGTTTTTTTTTTTTTTTAATACTTTCTTATTTATAATATAACAGTATTATTATAATCAAAAAATACATCAACTAGATATAGGAAAAAAACATTTGAATATTATATCGATACACGTGTAGTGTCTTATTTAGGTCTTTTTCTCTCATACATATTATCATATAGAAGAAATTATTAGAATACTGTAGACTAGCTTATGAAAATATATCACGATTTTTTAACATTGTTCATGGACTACAATAGTTATCACGAAATGTCATCAGTCTTAAATCACATCATATTATTTTGGTTTCTCTACGAAATTAAAAGCTTCAATCGTATTGAGCTCGAATTTCTTTTTCTTATGATACATTGTACCGATTGATTGTATCAAATTTAAACACGAAAACTATACCATTGAAGCTATAATAAAATCAGTAATAGGATATATCCCTTATATATGCAATGCAATTAATATTGTCCGTATAACTGATTCAATTAATAATATATATATCAGCAGATTGAAATATACAATTGTAATAAATTACAACTGTTCTTTTCATACAAGACTAACAAATTAAAATTTCTTAGAAACAATTTAAAGTTAGAGATGGAGATTTTTCACAACGTTCAATAGCGATAATTCGTTGCGTTTTATCACTTCATTGATGTAACTAACAATAAAAAAGTCAAACATCAAGACTAACATAATTGTTATACAATTTTAAACAGGAATCACGGGGAGACACTCGATGAATGGAGGACAGGAAGTTCGGATTTTAGGAGAGCTTTAGGAGAGTTGGAGAAGAATATTGTAGAAGAGTGGGAGAATATTGTTTCCTCACTTGATTTCTGCGAAATGCCTGAGGATTTGGGGCATAACCTATAGTTCCTTGCATCTTCATCGTACGTAATATTTCAGGATCAATTGATGGTGTTTTCCTGTGAAAATATATAAATAAAATTTTAAGTTATTTAATATTAATTTTTTACCAATCAATATTATTTATTTTTTTAATCCTTTATGTTTATAGGTTAATTATAAATTGAGATTACTTACCTATAAACTTTTTTTAAATATTCCTCTGGCCAATCACTTAATAATGGGTGCCCGGTATATACAATAGGTATTGTACTTAATGGTGTAACATCATCATTAAATGATATAGATTGAATTGATTCAACTGGATCAGCAAATTCAGTTGGCCTAGATGAAAATTGAAACATTTTTTACATTTTTTTATTTTATTTTTTTATTTTTAAAATTTAATACATTTACTAACCGAGAAAATGTATTAAATTGGGGTTCAGGTGTATTTGTAGACATAAGATGTATAGAACCTGCTGAATCTCCAAAGCATAGACATTGAGATGTAGAAGATACATCAAATGATAATATCATTGCACAACCAGTTGCTACCTATCAATACAAGAAAACTTGTACACACTATGTAATTGAAATTGTTTTTTCTTTTCACATATTGCATGTTACATATACCTGATATAAACATGTCATGGCTGGCTGTACATTAGCATAGATAGTATCAAGAAGTTGCATTTGTCCCAATGGTGATACAACAGCTAAACGGCTGGAATAGCTGGGTAGGAACTTTAATAGAAGTGGATATACTAAAGTTGTAACAGGACTTAATGCTCTCATTTGTCTCAAATCATATGCCATTAAAAATCTATCTACTGATAGACCCTGACGGCTAAATTTAAAAATAAAATTAATTGAAAATTTTAATTTAAAATAATTATAATAATATTTAATAGAAAATTAAATTGTTCCAAGTCTTACCTATTACTAAAGCCACAAGTAACAAGGTAATTTCCTTGAACATCAAAATCACTGAGAGATGCACTATGGGTATCAAAAGTATGTTCTATTGATAATGTATTTGGATCCCTGAGATCAATTCTTCCCACAGGATTACCACAACAAATAAGTCTGCTATGCTGCCTTAAAATTGCACAACCATTTTCCCCTACATGTACCTATAAATATAAGATAATACTAATCCATGTGCACGTTATGTTTTTTCATTAATATATAATATATATAAACTCACTAATCCAGTCTCTTTTCCTCTAGTCAAATTAAAATCGATTATTTTTTCTTGATGTCCCCCCATAAGTAATCTTGTTGGTGAGATTTGTAGCATACATTGCATATCAATCATATTTGATGATCTATAATGTTACTTATTTATGTAGAAAATATTCATAAATTTTTTATATAAATTATTTTTATATTATTTACATATATATAAAATTAACATACGTATGTGAAAATATTGGTATGCCACGTCTTAATTGACATCTTAATAAACTCTGTGTCAAAACTAAAATTCCTTCATCTAATGGATGAATATGCCGAACCTCTTGCGTGGCATGAACTTGGAATGAAGTATATTTTTGTAAACCAGACCCATAATAAGATGTCACGTGACCCTATAAAACATTTTTCTTGATCACAGTACATAAACAATTTCATTAATTGTTAAAAAAACCTATTTTTATTATTCTTCATATTTAATAATTTTTAAAAAATATTTTATAAAAATATTATATATCATTAAATAAATATTATTAAAGTAATATAATTTTAGTATTATTTCAAACATTTCATACATTAATAATAAAGTAAATAATAAAAGTAATGATACATATAATTTCTTAGCTATATTTTTATCAATAAATCTTATAATACCCCTTGATTTCCCATCCACATAAGTTCTTCAACATTATCGAAAGTGGCAGTAGAAACTCCAAATCTATCCCCCCCATCTGCAAGTAAAGTACGAGTTTCATGAAATTCAGCCCCTGAAAAATCTTCTCCAAATTGTTCTGTTGCAGGTACATATTCATCACCAGGTAAAATATAATTTGTTTCTTCCCCTGTAATGAAAGATGACAAAAAAGTTGATAATGAAAATTCATATTATTCCAAAATCAGTCAAATCATTAAACATAACTTGTGATGACATTTCAACATTCACAATATAGGTTAATAATTATTAATGTCAATAATCTTTGTGATCATTGTTTACGAGATCTCTAATATTTATATTCGAACAAACGAGACTAAATTTCAACTAATTCAAAACAGCAACGTCACAGCTGATTTGGATCGCATGCCTAACCCGTGAATTTTGCAAGATCGTTCGGAGTGGAACAGCTGATCGAAACTAAGCATCACGTTTCGAAAACAGAGGAAGGAGAGGGAATAGCCAATAACGGATCATTGAATTGGTGAGTAAGAATTAATGAGACAAAAGATATCATATAATACTAACAGCGAACAGGACACCAGATCGCGCACCATGATTCGAGCGAGTGCTACAGAATGAAGAGGTTTCGCGCCTTTCCAAATCTTCGAATCTTGGGTCGAAGAAATCGCATTTCGATACAACAAAGTGCATTTTGGCGCCTTTAGAAGAAAGGAAGGAACGTTAGAATGATATATGAAAATAACTTACAAAGTAATTCTTGTTCATCACCGCCACTATCGGCCGTGGCCTCTACGGACGGGTCGTAGTGGCCCAAAACCGGGTAGTCCATAATATTCCCGTCTTCAGCCTGTTCGTTTTTCAAGCATGGAATTGCCGTCAATACGAAGATAGTCGTAGAATCGTTGTCCCAATGATCGTTCTCTTTTCATAGCACACTTCTTAACACGCACACGCACGCACCGTAGTCGCCTTGGCAACTGTGCAACAAGCGAAACACTTCGTCACAAATATTCGTTCTTTCCCTGCTACTATATAATTCGAATGATGGAAATTATGGTTAGCATAACACTTTTTACACTTCTTTACCGCGAAACATGGACCAAATCGTTTATCGAGGTACCTTTAATTCATGATTCCACTTTTCTGCGCGTTTCACCCGTGTAAAACAATATGACGGCCTTGAAGGTGGCGACACCTGCTGTTTCGCGCGTCAAACAGTAACGCCAATGGCAAGGACGCGAAAATCACTAGATTTCATTGTTCGTTTAGTTGTCATATAAACTGAGACGAAGACGTGTAAACTGGCGCGAAGCTGGGATGACATTTCGAGAAAAAATGAATTTAAAGAAGACAAAAATCAACAAATCTATGGAAAAAAGTATACAATTTAAATATTGTTATTGTTATATATTAATTTATATCTATAAGAAATTATTTAATACGATTAATACGATAATTTTTGAATTTTCCAGTCAGACAGTGTCAGTGTTTGAAAAGTGTTTGATTCTGCTAACGTACATCGTGCTACTGGAAAAAGTAAGTAAAATAAAAAGATATTCATATTATATTTTATTACAAAAATATTTAAAGTTCATTATAAATTCAAAATACTAAATTATTGAAATCGATTATTATATTATATTTATGAAATATATTTTTTTAATTATCATTTTAAATTCATTCGTGTCGCGCCAATTCTCTTTTGTATTATATGGCATCTATATAGGTTAATTTCAAACAATGATTAAATGACGTGCATTTATTTCATTTTATTTTATTTTTTTAATTATTCGTTTAATATGTTTAAAAATAAAATATAAATTCATATAGAGAATCGAAGAATTTATTTATCAGACATCGATATATGTACATATATATATTTTATAATTTTTGATTAACGCTTCATATATATATATCATGATAAACGATGAAAATCACAGAAGTATCCAAAGTATTTACTTTATAGAGGTATAGGTATTAATATGAAAATACGTATCGAAGACTTTTTAACTTTTGTCAAAATACATTCATCTTTTGATTACTTTCACACGATCTTTACATTGTATTACAATATCATATACGATAAAGTACGAATACTTAGTATTCTTTCGTTTTCCATTTCAAATAATTTTTGCAATTACTTATTTACACAGACACTTCCTATATAGATATATTACCTAAAAAAAAAAGAAATAATATCATTATATTATAATCATATCAGAAAAATTTTTCAAAGAAATATATAATACAATATATATAAAATTAATCAGATAATTGCAATAATTATTATTGCTTTAAGATTATTAAAAAAAAAAATGATGAAAAATTATCATTAAACAATATAATATCATTATTATATCAATCATTAAACAATATAATATCAGATACATAGGAATATGTAAAATTCATTATTTTGTAAATTATTGCATTTACTGTATTATTTAATTTTACTGTTTATTATTTTATATTAATTTTATTGTTTTATTTTTAATTAAAAGAAAAAAATTTCAAATATTTATTTTTAAACATAAAATGTTAACAATATGAAAGTAAAAACAGTATATAAAAATTACCTTATAAGGAACAAAAATATAAAGAAATGATGCAAAACAGTAGTAAGCAGATTTGTTGCCTGTCCTAGCAGCAAAAGGAAGGTTTTAGGTTCTTTGCAAATGCGAAATTTGTATTAAATGTCAAAATTGTAAAATATAGGAAGATACAACGATTTTATTGGAAGTCCTGTTGGGTAATGGATTCACGAAGCAATAAGAATTTTTTTAAGAATTCGTGAACGAGAGTCGTTGTGCGATATGTAAGACCTAACAAAACAATTTCAAGTTATTTTACAAAACTCTTTTTATAAAAAAACATATTTGAAAACCTACCATTCAGTCAAGACGTGTACCCTGTTATTGTTAATGCGAATGAATTTTCAAAGAATTCAATTAATTGATCTTACTGAAAGGAAAGTAAAAAGTAAAATTAGAATATCATTGTATTTTAAATTTTAGATTTTTAGATTTTTACGTCAAATTATTAAATTTTTCCCAATAATTCAAATTTTACTTAAAATCAAATTATCCTAAGATTAACGTAAATTGTTAATCTTTATATTTAAAATCTCTTTATATCGATCAGAAGAAATCAATACCAATTTTAGTTTAACCCCTTAACGTTCATAATTCAATTTTTATTTTATTATTTTTTTTATTATTCCATTTATATTTTATTTCTATCATTAATCTTCATGGCACAAAAATTACAATATCCTATACCACAATGCATAAATATATATTTATGAATAATATAATTAATTTTATATTCGTTACATATCATTTATTACGATAGAAATATTTTAATTTTTCAATTTTTTTTTTAAATTTTACAAAAAAAAAAAATTTTTTTTACGCGTTAAGAGATTAAAGAATTTAAATCCAATACAAATATTTACTCTCCATTAGTTTTTCATATTTCTAACGCGTTGTTAATACAATTACCTTTAATGCCGTCGAATGAGGCGTGTGCGATGGTGAAGAGCGTTAATGAGGACTCCGATTTCTTCGTCAGATTCAGCCGATTGGCGTCTCGATATTCGATTATTCGGTGTACCACTGACGGAACCAGAGCTTTGCTTAGATTGCTGGATTGGGAACGAAGAACGACGAATAAGAGGCGGTGGTCTTGCACCTACGATTCGATTTAGATTAAACGATTATCGTTAAACGGTACATTAACGAAGATTGATTGTATCGTATACCTAATAGGCGAAAAGCGGATCGATGCATTTCGAAAGACTTCGTACTCTTCATTGGATACCTCGGTAGGAATCGCCTCTGAATGGGAAGCTCGATCGTGGACGTTTTTCTTGAGCTGATACTACCTGCCTTAGACGAGTCCTTATGCGTTTTTTAAACATATATATACATGTTCGTATACTCGTGTCGTATTTTTTTTTTTATTTTTTATTTTTTTTAATTTTTTTTTTTTTTTATATTTTGGCAACATGAAATGGGAAAATACATTTTAGTGCGCGTGAAATCAATCAGTGTAACGTTTCATTGCATTCCACTTATTTTTTTTTTTTTTTTTTTTTTACAAAAATATTGGTTCTACTTATTAACATTAAATACGACATTACATGTCCATATACATGTGACTATACTGGTATTTGCATTGGAGTAGCGTCTAATTTGCGAAACTAAGAATTTATAATTAATTGCACTTCTACGTCTAGAAATTCTCTATTCTATGATATTTCTTTTCTTTCTTTTTTTTTTTTTTTTTTCTAAATACCTTATTAGTCAATTAAGATTCTCTGTATATATTATCGAATCTAGATACACAGATATTGCAGTTGTAACCAAGAAATTCTACTTCCCACATTACTATTTTGCTTTCATCGATGTCTTTTATTTATTTATTTATTTTTCTTTAAATCGATATTCTACTAGATATACATATATTTTCAACTAACATTCATTTCGAATGTTTGGTTAAACGATCATCTCTATCTCTGCCTCTTAAATGTACCTGTAACGTATCTACACTGATTAGATTTGCAACCACGAAAATAATAATATAGACATTATATAATCGTTAAAAATCGTTAAATAAGATGTAAAGATCAATAGCATATATATATATATACATCGTTAGCCTCAGATTATATCAAATTTACAAGATAAACTAGTGCGGTTTCCGCTGTAATACCTTGTCTCTAGCGAAACGTATTCTCAACACTTCAACGAGAGCAGCTATTGCTGAAATGAGAAGCATCGTCACGAGAATGTGTCCGGCGACCAGGACCGATTTCGATCGACGATCTTCCCCACTTTCTTCTACTTTATCCGTCTTATTATCACTCTTGCCAATCTCCCTCAAAATCTTCGCACCCGTGTCTTCGTTCCTTCCTTCGTTACCGTCCTCCTTCAAACCCTCCTCCTCCTCCTCCTCCTCCTCCTTCTCCTCCTCCTCCTTCTCCTCCTCCCCTCCTCCAGTATTCTCCTCCACCGTATCGTTCCCAATCGTCACGACATTGGTTCCCGTGTCGTAAGTGCAATTCCCATCGTAATCACTTTTGAAAATATACTTCAACGTGTTCTCGTACTCGAATCTCGGGCAACGTTTCAACGTTCTGTGATCAAACGGGATCGTTATCTCCTCCTCGACGATCGCGTTCCCCGTCGCTCGTACGCTTGCCTCGTTCGCGGCAACTATCTCGTCCCGGCTGTAGTAATTCGTGTTCAACAATAATCTCAACGGCAACGAGAGCAATACACCGAATATGGTCAATATCACCAGAATGCTGACATTGATGCCCATTGAGATCCGTTTCTCGGACATCTCGATGGAACGCGTATTCACATTTTCCTCGGGCGTTCTTGTTGTTTCGAGCTCCATGTTCCGTGATGCGATGTCCCGTGCTCGGCGGCCAAATTCTCCACGTTCATCTCGTTCGCCTTCCACCCAACGTTCAACGACGTTTCCCCCTCCCCCTTCGCTCGGACGACACTCGCTCGACCAAAAACTTTCCAAACGAATTATCCCTCTCTCTTTATCGTGCACACGCAACTGTTGCGCATTGTGTTGTGACTGCGGCTCCAAAGCGAATCCCTGGATGTCGGTTGATTATTGATTTCTCCCGTGGCCGAGGCGTACGCGCAAGTCTCTACGCGGCATCCCGTGGTGCCGTGGTCGGCGGTAATTAAAACGTTCTTTAAATCGAGAATGGCGGTTGGAACAATCGACGTTTATTATCGCCGGAACTACCCTCGTTTGAACCGATCACACGCCCGATTGTGCCTCTTGTAACTTGTTTCAATGTAAGCTTCTTGTCGATTGGGAGGGAATTATTAGCTGTCTGACTGGAAAGTTGTAATTGGGGGTATAAATAGAGCGTGGTATAGGTTGTTTTTTTTTTATTGGATTTTTCATTTGTTAATTGAGTCGTGTCTCTTTAATGGGTTTTTTCTTTTTCTTTTTTTTTTTTTGAATTAAAAAGTAATAACGGATCGATTTGGCATCTGGAGGTCTTCCAAATGCGTTCTTAATATAGATGTTAACGAGAAATAGATGTGTATAAGAAATAGAGGAATTGGGAAATAGTTTTAAAATTATTATTCTTCAATTTTGAAGTCGATTAGCTATCGAGGAGATAAGAATGGAAAGGAGATGTCGATGATAAAATTGATATTGATAGTATCACGTATATATTCTATAAGAAAAATGATCCACATATCTACATGATAAGCAATGAAATCTAATTTTTCTTCCTTTTCTCGCGTTAGCCATAATTAACTAATCATATTGGAGGCTTAATTCTTAGACGAACTTCAAACAGCAAACATTAAGTTCTTAAATAATCATCAATTACCAATTAAATACAACTCAATTTCGATCAGATCGAAACTGATGCATCCTTAATTTTTTCTAAATTACTTATTACATCGATTTACTTGACTTTACAAATTTCTACGCAGATCAAATACCAATTACACATTTTTCAAATCTCCACTTCTTCTTCTTACTTCTTCTCATACTCGTCTTCGATACGTTTTCCTACACACTTGGCACGAATCACGTTCGAGCGTGCCGCTCTCCACGAATATTTCCCCCTTAAAAGCGAAAAATCTGCATGAAATATAAGCCACGAGGGAATCGTGCGCGCTGTTGATAGCGTGGTCGAAGAAGGGCCGAAGGCGGCGCAAGGAGTGGATTCATACACTCCGCTCCCCTCTCCATTGGTGTGGAAGGCGGCAAGGGTGCAAGGGAACGGTTTGAAATGGGCAGGTTCTCTAGCGCGTGCATACATAAATAATATTAGACAATATCGAATTAAAATTCGCATCTTTCTGGGGGCGAGCACAACAATGGGGGACCGTGGTGCCGTGGCCCCAACAAAGGAAAGTGGCCGGCGGAGGTGGTGTGATGGTGCGGTGGCGGCGGCGTATGAAAGTAATACGAGTAATAAAACGGTCGGAGCAACAACGGCTCGTTGGAGGGAGGCGAGCGGGCGAATGGTGGAGGGAGAGAGAGGTAGCGAGGAAGGTGGAAAGGGCGAGCGAGCGAGATATTCCGCGAAGGAGTGAAAAGAGGGGGGGGCGAGAGGAGATATAAACAGAAAAACAGAGCGAAAGGGAGGGAGACGGAGCGAGGAGAACAGCGACCCGACCCGACCGACCGGTAGCCCAGCCAGCGCGCGTATATCTTGCTCTGCTGCAACGCGCCGCCGATTCTTCGAGGTTCTCATTGATAAATTCGTATCCGTAGACCGAACCGCTCCACCTTCCCCTCATCCCTTCCAGGGCCAGCCTCGTCGGCCGTCCCCCAATCCTTTTCGACTCGATTTCCCTTTTCCAAGCGAAAGATCATCGAAAGAGAAATTATCGAGACCTCTCTCCTCCTGCTCCCGCCCCCCTCTCGATAATTATCACGAATAGCCGTCTTCTTAGACAAACACGTTCTCGAGTAGGCAGTAGATATCGAAAAAGGGCGGATAATTAGCGAGAAGAAACGCGAGTCAGCCTGGCATTCTAATTACCTCGATTATTAATCCATCACCGAGGCAAGGTTTATACACACCCAGCCCTATGAAACCCGGCCGTGTGGACGGGATTCGGATCGTTTGGAACATCCGTTCCGCGGGGATATCGCGAACGTTAATTTAATCTTAATACCAGTTCCGTTCCGTAAGGGAATATCCCGTAGTCGATAGCGGGAACCAGTTTTCTCTAAACGAAAGGAGCATAATGAGATTAGCCGGCGGGCAAACATCGAAAAACGATGTCTGTGGGAAGGATACGGGGCGAGTGTACGTAGGGGGAGAGGCGCAGGAAGGAGGGAGGCGCAGGTGCGGCTGGCTATATAAGATTATCGGTGTTGCGAAGTCGGTTTGCGCGAAAGATGAGCTCCATCTCGGGAGGTTGAGAGCCAGGGTATGTAGAGCAGATGCTCTCTGCCCATGGTGGCGGGGTGCGTGATTTTTCACCGCCGACAGCTCCTCCTTCGAGAACCGCGCATTCCACCTCCTTCCTTCTGCTTCTTCGACCCCTCTCGCTTCTTGGCCGGTCGGTCCCCTTCATCCTTCACTCTTCGTTCGCAACCGCTGCTCCTGCTGCTGCTGCTGCTGCTGCTGGTCGATCCCTCTCTCTCTCTCTCTCTCTCTCTCTCTCTCTCTCTCTCTCTCTCTCTCTCTCTCTCTCTCTCTCTCTCTCTTTCTCTTCCTCTCCAGCACTCCTGTTGCTTCGACACGCGGGTCTCTCCTCGTCTCTTTTCGTCCCTTGGTGGCGAACATTCGCAACGTATGCGGCGGACACGCCACTGGACACCAGTTGCACGATCTTAGATTTGCTGATCTCGCTTACGGAGTGCACCGACACACAGGGATGCGCTCTGGTGCAGCGCACCGCCTCGCGTGTGCGCGTGCACGCACGCGATACACAAAGGGCTCGTCACCGTTCCGAGAAATGATTTTCAATAATCGGCCAACGGGGAAATGCGAAAAGGTACAAGTGCCCGCCTCGTGTCGCCTATGATGGTCATTTGTGTTGTTAAACGGGATCCGAGCGTTGCTCGCCGATTCCTCGAGGACGCGCAGCATTCCAAAGGATCAAATAAAATTTGAAAGGGAAATTCTAGGAAAGAGTGGAATATTAAAAATTTACCTATGACAGTAGAGCATTCGAATCTGAATATTATTTATTCGTGCAACGGGTTATTTTTATTTCGCGTTGAATTTTTGAAATACATCTATCAGATTCATCGATCATACCGCGTATCTGTGATAAATAATCATTGATAAATAACGTGGGTTGAACGAACATATTTCGATTCATTTTTTCTTCAAAGAAGCACACTTCTTGCTCCCCTCAAATGTACGTTTAAACTTAACTTTTAATATTTTTTCACGTAATCGAAGATACAAGATAATCACATATACGATAATTTCCTTTAATTGGAAAAAAAAAAACTGCCTCAACTCCGTGTCTTCAACGATGATTCTTTAATAACGTAAAAAAAAAAAAAAAAAAAGAGACTCTCAAATGAACACATCTTAAGAAAGAAGGAAACCTTTAGCGGAAAGTACCCTCGAAAATGAAGTTCCATCTTAAACACACCATTAAGTCCGCCACCTCCATCAACGTCCACCCCGCTATTCCCTCCCGCCCACCTCGCGTGGAGTAACGATTTACAAGGAGCCCCGTTGTAGCTCGTCGGCCATCGTTCGTTACCTTCGTAATTTACATTTGCCACGTACAACATAGTCGAGCGAATAGCCGGTTGAATAGAATCAACACCGTTTCGCGGAGAGGGTAACCACGGTGGGACGAGTGATTTACGTAAGCCCCGCTGCGTATCCGCGGCCTCGCCGTACGATAGAAAGCGAGATCGACTTGTAAATCGGCGTCGTGTCATTATGCGGATAGAGGAGCAGCCTGGATGCGAGGAGGAAGAGGGGAAAAAAAAAAAAAAGAAAAGAAAAGAATCACGGCCCACGGTATCCAGACACACACACACACACGCACACATACTTCCTTTCGATTTACAATCGACGGGTAAGATAGGAAATCACCATGCCATGCCGAGGCATTAACCGTCACTAGGGTATCGAGGGCGCGAATACGGCTAATTGGCGTAGCACGAGCCGCGTGTAAGGTAGGTAGAGGTAGCTTAGGGGAGTCGCATAGCTGCGAAATTTCCATCGAGGCCGTTTATAAAGCGTCGGTCCGGGTTGCGGTGAGGGGTGTAAGGGGGCCGAGAGGAGGAGGAGGAGGAGGGGAAGGAGAAGGGTAGGCATCGCAATTACGCAAATTGCGGCTCTGTTCTCGCCTCCTCCGGGCTTACTGCCCGCGGACGAGGCATCGTGACGAGCGGCCCCGGCTGAAGGATGGCGTTACATGGAATGCTTACGGTTCACCTTCGTGTCTACGCGGACTAAGTACCTGTTCTACGTTTGTTCGCCGATAAATGATGGACTGTATCCGTGGAGGATGTTGAACGAGCGAAGGTGGTTAGGTTTTTTGAATGTTTTTTTTCTTTTTTCTTTGGAGATAAGAATAATGAAATTTGACAGAAGAAAATTTGTGGCCATCGGTGTAGGTTCGATTTAAGAAATTTGAGTTTAAGGGATTTTAGGTTAGAGTGCGTTTTTAGGTTACGTGTGCTTGAAGATGACACGAAAAATAGGTTAGGTTAGCGATTTTAATGATTCGGGATAAACTTGAATTTATTTTATACCAAGTGTTTCACGTAGATTATTGGCGAATTATAATTATAGGATAGAAAATATATCGATGATTGTAACCTATTCTTTTTAATCTTTCAAAGTATTTTCAACGAATCCTCGTATCGTACAGAAATCAATTTTCACTTTCTTTCAATTTCTTATTCGATTCGAATTAAATATACAAAGATCGAATTTATCGGATACGTGGCCACGTTCCATCACGTTCCATCAATTTGGCAGATCTTCAACGATGCATTCGTATCTGCTCGAAACGATCATTCTAGAACACGATCTAAATAAATAATCGATCCAAGGATGATGGAAATTGGTTTGAAAGTCGTTCG